GAGGACATGAAACAGAGGATCTCAAGAGGACTGAGTTCTGCACAAACACTAGTAGTCTGTGAGCTTGGTGTTAGGGCAGGGCCACCAATTATGGACATAAACTTCCCAAATATTTCAGGTTGGCTCACATTGCAGATCGAGTCAGTTGTGATGACTTCAACTTCATGACTTAACCTATAGAAGCTAGGTCTAAACGCTCCTGCCGTTAAGTTCAGAAAGGTGCTAAGACAATTCGCGGCGGTGATAGAAACACGGATAAAGAATTACAAAGGAGTGTGTTCTGTCACAGCGCTCCTATAAATTTATGACACCTCACCAACTACCTACTCGACGTATGCTCCAAAGCCTGGTTGAGAAGCCGTGGCTTCACATATCTGAGTGTGAACCCTCGTTGTGGAGTTACTGCCAATGTAACACCTTGAATTGCATGCTAGAGTATGGGCGGAATTGAAGATGGATTATCTGAATTTGAGGTCATTCGTGACAGTATGGCAGACACATCTAATTACCTGAGTAATTGCATGGAATGTGGAAGTGATAAAAGACCAAGTCACCTTAATCTGGTGACAAGTGATCAAACTACGGCCAGATAGGTGCCAAGACGATTTGCTGAAGTGAGTCTTCGTAAATTACAAGACTTTAAGTATCACAGCAATTAGCACTTTTGTTCAAATTCACGCTACGACATATCTCGAAACCTGTTGTGTTATCTTCACGTAATGACGACCAGTAAATCGAATTCCATGCAATTCCGCAGCTAATCTGATGTATTTGTGATGCAATCACGGATGACCTCAACTTGTGATGATCCAGCTTTGGTTGCAGCCTGCTCCACCACATTACGAAAAACCTTCCATTTATCCTGCGAGAAGTAAATATTTGCATCGTCCAGGTTGATTCGCGTCACCCATCGCTCGACGATTGCACACCCACCACAATCGCATAGAGGATGCCAACTACTACCAACCCGTTCATGCACCTCTCAGCCTGGTCACATTCGCTTACTCAACGATCCACCAACACCTCATCAGTGCACGCTAAACAGTCGCAGCAGCAGAACCACTTCCGTCGCAGGCGACCAAATAAGGCCTTCTTTCCTTCACTGGAAATTTTCGATAGGTGGCACATGCGAGGGTGCACCACACTCAAATGCCCCACCACTGCTACTCAACTCAGTAACCGCTCCGCTTTCAACTCCTTCGCAGCTATTGTGTTCACACCCAACCACTCAGCAATTCATGGCAACGGACGAGGCTCTACCACCTCTTGCACCCTCAAGGCATGCTTGCGGGGGCTCGTCGCGGCGACATCGGCCCGAACATGTCTCACTACTGGACTAACCAAACTTTAAAAAAGTTCCACCGAAAGGAAACTAGGCATTTAACCAATCAAGGCTCTTGATCGAGGTGCGCAACGCCTGGATTTACCCACCACACAACCCGTAGAGAAAACGCATAATATGTGGGTATATTTGCTCAAATGCGAAAAAACACCTATCCTTAAAATCTGTTGTGGATACAGTAATAAAAATTTAAAAAAATAAGGTTCTGTGCTAAAAGTTTCAAAAATAGGCTCTAATAAAAGTTGTCGGTGGCATATCGTATAAATCTCATTGCACGGATTATGAACATTTCGTTCGTTTGGCTGGAGAACCATTTGTGGGAAATTCGTTGACCGACCTCCTCTGAAGGTTTAACTAGAAGTGTAAAAAGCCAGCGTTAGCACGACGACCAATTTCTTCCACATCCACCATCACATGTGAGATCGTTTGGCCGGTGAACTAATACAAACAACAGACGACTACCCAAACAGGCTTTTAGCGGTCGGAACATGGACCTGCGGGTTGGAAGGTAGAACACCTACCTCCTCGTATTCCAATACACCACTATAAGCCTTGATCAAAGGTGTCCCTGTCAACACCAACACATGGACATTGTTTGCTTACCAACTCTAGCACAAGTGCTCAACCACATATAACAAAGCACAAGGGAA